GTGACGGTGATGGTGATGTTGTACTCGGCCTGGCTCTCTCTGTCTAGCTCTCCTTCTGTTACTAGCTTGTAGAAATTCTCAACGGAAGGTTTCAGAGTGAATGGAACATCGTCCTGGATGGAACAAACCACCTCCCCATTGTCCCCAGAGTCTCGGTCTTGAATACTGAAAAGAGCTATTGTGGTCTCAGGGGAATTTTCTGGGATGGCGCTTATAAGTGAAGCCACCGTCAGTTCTGGGGTGTTGTCATTTATATCCACCACCTCTATTATGACAGTACATTTTCCAGAAAGACCTGCCCCGTCAGAGGCCTTAATATCCAGCTCATATGATATAATTTTTTCAAAATCTAGTTCCCTAATTATTTTAATTTCTCCTGTGAGTTCATTAAGTGCAAATGTCCTACTAATCTCTTCATCACCGTAAAAAAATGAATAGAATACTTGGCCGTTTGTTCCTGTGTCTAAATCTCTAGCTGAAACAGTGACAATAAGAGATCCCAGAGGACTGTTTTCCAGGATCTGCACACGATAGAGTGGCTGCACAAACTCAGGGGCATTGTCATTGATGTCCAAGATATCAATGAGGACCAAGGCTGTCCCAGTTTTGGGAGGAACTCCACCATCTACTGCCAGGAGAGTTAACCTAAGCTCAGGCTGCTCCTCTCGATCTAGGGCTTTGTCCAGAACCAGTTCCGGGTATTTCCTGCCTTCACCGCTATTGCGCGTAAGAACGTGGAAATGGGAGTTGGGATAAATGGTGTAGTTTTGAATATTATTGATACCTACATCCAAATCTTGTGCATTTTTCAGGGGAAACACAGTCCCTGGAAGAGTATTTTCCATGATTTTCAAAATCATTTCTGCTTCTGGGAACACAGGGGAATTGTCATTTATGTCAGTGACCAAAAGCTTATACCTATATACCTCTAAAGGTTCTTCCAGTAACACCTGGAATTGAAGTACACAAGGCTCAGTGGGGCCACACAGTTCCTCCCGATCCAGTTTCTCATTTACTCGCAAATCTCCAGTCTGAAGGTTCAGCTGAAAATATTTTTTGTCATTTGTAAAAATGATCCGAGCCCTCCGCCAAGAGAGCTCTTTTACCGCTAGCCCTATGTCCTTTGCTAGATTGGCCACAAAAGAACCACTCTCTGTTTCTTCAGCAATACGGTAATCTTCCTGCTCCGCCCAAGTGTGAGCCAGCAAAACAAAGAGAAGAACTTGCCTTAGTCTAGGAAAGCGTTCCTTTTCAGCCTCCATTTCTCCAACGCCAAAAGTCTTTAGAATCTGAGTGCCTGTTTGGTCTTTAGGCAGTCCCCTCCGGGAGTCAATCCCTGACGCAAGGTAATTCCGTAAGGAATTATCTTCTCTTACATGTGTGTATGACTGCCCGAACAGTAACCATCCGCAGGTCTGTTTTTCGCAGCCTTAGCTTACAGCGCCACCATGTGTTGTACTTAAACCTAGTTTGCTGAAATTGCTCCAAAACCCATCAGACTTAACTTTGATTTACACACAAAAACAAACCACAGATTATATATGGGATGATTTATAAATAAAATGATAACTTCTGTTTTCCTATGAGATTATGAATGTGGAAATGGTGCCAGACACGTTGAGAAAGGATGCAAAAACAAAGCCAACTGTATTTGTTTATTCAACAAATGCTTATCAGTTTCATGTTATATGTCAGACACTGTACTAAGTGCTGGGAATACAAATACCTTCTCTGAACTAATGGAGTTTACAATATAATGTCTACTATATTGTATAATCTCTGCTCTCCAGGGAAATTGACTAGAAAATGATGTGTAGCTATCCGTCTATTCCTAAACAAAGAATATACATAATTAAACTCAACTCACTGCCAGCACAGTAGATGAAAAGACTCATTCACATGTTTCAGGAGTATAAACTTAAGTGATAGACCAGCTAGAACTAGTTTATTATGCAAACTCAATAGAAAGCTTAAGGGGTTGTGGATGACTCATTTGTAAATACTGTCTAAGGAGAATATCTCTGTACCTCTGTGAGCATGTTGTATTGACTTGTTCTATTGTCCAAAACAATTTATAAAGACATCTATATTTATTCCTAAAACCAAGATACTCACATGTTGAAGCAGAGATTCACTGAGATCTTGAAAAGTAGGATAGTCAAGATCATAAAAATAAAGGGCTGACGTTAAAGTAATAAAGGGCAGAAGAAAATAAGTTGGATTCATCTGAAAGAGCATGTAAAACTTATATCAAGTAAGGAAGATTGCAACTCATTTTTAGCAAGCAACTCACGTGTCCCTTATGGATAGCTTGAGATCCTGGCATCCTAGCATGAAACTGAAGTTCTTTTACGTCTATCAATGGGAAAAATATCTGTAGTAGGGGGCCTGGGTCTCTCCAGCTGCATCAAACTTTAGCCAAAATTTTAATAACGTTTAAATAATAGACACTATCACGTATTCTGGCACACTAATACCTAGCTAACTGGGAAAATAGCATGGGCCAAGTATAAAAATTGTGTTGCATATTAGTTTAACTCTATTAAAGGTACGAATCACTCAAATCAATATTCTATTTTAGAATGTTTTCCTCTACATAGTGAAACAAATTGATTATGTAAACTCAAAATATGGGAACATGCTGTTGACAGTTAAAATCTAATAGATAATTTCCTTTTAGAAAGGTCTTGGTCATGGACCAGACTCTATTATGGAATCAAATGTCCAAGAAAATGTGCCCTTAGTGTCCATGCAGTTTTTAAAATATTAATAGATAGAAGCTGGTACCTATGTTGGTAAGTGAATGGATCAAAACTAGTTTTTCATTCCCATCTGTATCTCTCAGATAAATTTTGTCTTTATTTTCTTTTCTAAGGAGAAAGTTTTATGCCCATATACTTGGCAGGAAGCTTGAATTTTTTTTCCCGAGTGTTCTAGTAATAGAGTATGTGTCAATCAAATTGCTATTAATGAAATCATGAATTAACCCATATAATCTATAAATTGGATTATTTCTAGATCCTGAAGATTTTACATTAGATGATAAAATAATTCTGCTAACATTGAACTCAGTTATTTTTAAAAGAAAGAGATGATAAGGAAGGTATGATGTATAGACATCCAAACAATAACAATTTCAGTGTTACTTTTTAAAACTAATCCTGGAGAACAAAATAAATGGAGGGAAACCTGTTAAAATATTCCATAAAATCTTTTGTAGTATCTTTCAGTTGAAAGAGCTCATAAATTGTTTACAAAATTAAGTTTTATAACAAAATTTTCTAGTATACATTAGTTATCTCTAAGCTTGTACATTTTTTATTCCATTTATTGATTATGTTAATATTAAAAGCCTGCAATAACAGACCTAGGTTTTATGGTAAATAGTCTAATTGAGTACTCAAGATTGCATGTATCTTTTCTGACTCTTTTGGTTTCAAGAAGTGCACTCTCCCCATGATAGGTTAAATAAAGGAGTTTTATTATTAGGAAACTGGAGTTTTACTGTAGGGCTCAAGGACAATTAGACAATGGGGACTTAGGAACCCTGGAATCAGGAACTGACAGGTCTACAACCAAGTGACTCTTAGTCTCTTTTGTTTCTTAGGCTTCTGCTTCTACCACTCCCTTATTCCTTCTCATTTTCCTTCCATTTCTCCTTTCTTTCCTCCCTCTCTACATGCCATTCTGTGCTGCCAACCTACACAAGTGTAAACATGGCTACCTCAGCCCATACTTAATATTTATTTCCTAGTTACGAGCAATCAAGAAAAAAAATAGATGAACTACATCATAATTACAAACTTAGGGACTTGGAGAATGTGACTATTCCTACTTTAATCAGGAGTCTATAACAAGACCAATAAAAAATGACTGAGAGAGGTAAAGAAAGGTATAATAAACATCTCAGCAGTGATTGCTTCCCTTGGGAAGTCTCAGGAAGTTCTCAGACAAAAGTGTGGGCTGGATATATATATTAATCCAAACAAGATTAGAATTTATTTTAATACAACATCTACCAGCAATACACACCATTCTCAAAATGTTTACAAAGAAAAATACCTAAGTGCAGAAAAATTACTCTGAAGTATTTGGCAGAAAAGTAGAATGGTAAGACTGATTATGCTTTTTAAAAAAGAAATCTAAATAAGACAACATCTTAGAAACCATGCATGGTTTTTATTTATACCATGCATTTTCCTCTATCGAACATATAAAAACTGTTTCAGTGAGAGGATCTAGAGCTCAGAACACCCAAAGAATGTGGCTGAGCCTAGTGTGTCCTTAAGCTTGAAGGGAAAATGCTGTATATTTGAATAAATTATTTGAGGTTGCATTTTGGAAGAAAGACCAAGCAAATCCTAGCTCCCTTAATTTTTTCCACAGTTAGTATAAAAAACAGCAGAAAACAAATCATTAAAACTTCTGTGAAAATTCTTAAGTAAAATGAAGTTACCCAAAACAAAGAATTTTACATTACAATGAATACATTTTACAAAGAAATAGCGCTCACTATAAAAGTTCTGCACAATAATCAAATCCCTAAATGAACTCAAAGCCATTCTTAAAAGTGTGGCTTTCCTCCGTTTTATGTTCCGGGGGAGGGAGGTTGGGGATTGCCGGTTTAAGGAACTTGAACTCTCTGGTCCCAGATCCTCGCCTCAGACACACCTCGTACTGGTAGCTGTGGGACAGGGTCCCCGCGC